TTGGCTTCTCCAGAGGTTCCCTCTCCCGAGGGAAATCCAGGACAACCAAATTACCGACATGGCGCCCAACAAATCCGAACTCAACCACTCCCTGAGAGCATAGAGTCACCGCCTGCGACGTCAGGCCATGCAGTCCCCGAAGTAGCAGCCCAGCAGCCTGCGACGTCAGGCAATGCGGCCATTCAGGACCTCTACAACTCCCTGGCTATCCTCACTCAAGCGGTTACGGCACTAACCCTCCATTCCACGAAGGCGGAAGTCCCTGCAGCTCCACCAACCCCACCAGCACCGGCTCCGAGATGGAAGCCAACTCTAAAGAAGTTTACCGGTGCAGAACACGAGAGCCCTGAGGAATTCGCCGACTTAGCCACGGACCACCTGAGGAACATGAATATAGAAACCAAGTACTGGACGGCCTACCTGCTCGAACACGGTCTAGAGGGAGAAGCTGCAACATGGGCCACAACTCATGCGGACCCTAAGCTAGAATACCACACATTCTTTGGACGACTGATCGACCACTTCAGCCATCCTAGTCGCTTCTCCCGCCTCCTGGCCAAGCTATACGGCCATAAACAACGAGCAGAGCCCGCAGCAGAGTTCATCTCCAAGAAGATGGCCCTATTTAACAGAGTTTCCCCTTCCACCAGAGATGAAGATCGTTGTACGATAATCATGGACCAACTACGTCCCGAAATCAGGCAATTTCTAAGGTCCAATCCACCAAAAACGGAAGAAGACCTACGTCGTACAGTGGACGAAATTGAAATAGACATCGAGGCTTCCACACCGACCAGTGCGAAGAAGCACGAGAAGCAGGTATCAAGCAGTGGAAGCCGTCCTCAGCAACAGGAACGTCAACCTCCACCACCTCCACCACGCCACGACAGGCCTCGCCAGTCAGAGACCTTACAAGAATGGAGGAACAGGGGAAACCAACACCGCAATCCAAGCGGACAACAACAACAACAACAACAATTTCAACAGGAACCAATCAAATGGTTTCAACCAACACCGCAACCAGGGCGGTAACTTCAGCCGCAACGGCAGTAACAATCAACACCGCCATCCAGGCGGAAACAACAATCAAAACCACAACAACAACAATTCCAACCAAGGAGGTAGACCGACGCCTCCACCGAGAAGCCCACCACGTCCGGGAAACTCCGACGGGGGCATCATCGAGAACAACTAAGTCCAACCAGAATGGTGCCCCAGCTCAACACCCTCCACGTTGCCGATTCCTCACCGTCGCCCAAGATCTCCGCCGAGGTCAACTCCGTCAGAATTATGGCCACGATAGACACTGGTGCTACAGCAAATTTTATCAGTGTAGGCCTAATTGAGCGGGATATGGTGAAAAACGACCCCGCCGAGGTGCAGCTGGCTAAGCAAGGCCATTCATTCCACAGTATGGGTACAGTAGACGTGGACATCCACTTCACCGACCAGTTCACGTCCAGAGTCCGATGTCGCCTCGTAGACGACCTCCACCACGACTTGGTACTAGGCATGCCATGGCTGAAGTCCGAGGAAGTCCTGGTAGATATTGCCAGGAGATGCCTCCATGCAGGGACCGTCAGCCGCCATACCTTGTTCTGGGAGCCATCTGCGAGAACCACCACCACGACAGATACCATCCACCTCCTGAGGGACGACCAAGCCCCAACCCATGCTGTAAATGAGGTCAAACATCTGCTAAGCACCTACCAAGATGTGTTCGATGACAGAGTCCGCCAACCTACTACCAGAGCCACCAAGATGGTCATTAAACTGACGGACTCCAAGCCCATCAACACTAGACCATATAAGTACTCGACGCCGAAGAAGCAAATCATGTACCAGGAAGTCCAGGATATGCTCTCGGCTGGCGTCATTCGTCCAAGCAGGTCCCCCTATAACAGTCCAGTAGTTATAGTTTCCAAGAAGGATGGAACACCACGATTTTGTGTCGACTATCGCAAAATCAATGCAATCACCGTAGACGAGGTATCGAACTTGCCACCCATCCACGACAGCATCAAGGAGCTGGGGTTAGCTACAGTATTCACCACCCTCGACCTGAAGAGCGGATTCTGGCAGATTCCGCTGGCCGAGGAGTCCAGGGAAATAACAGCATTCAGCCTTCCTGATGGGTCGCAATTCGAGTTTACCGTGATGCCATTTGGACTTAAGAACGGACCTGCAGCATTCCAAAAGCTGGTGACCACCGTCTTCGCCGGCTATGTGGACGAATTCGTGAAGGTCTACATGGACGACATTATCATCTACTCGTCCACCATGGAGGAACACCAAAAACACCTCCACCTGGTTCTCGAAAGACTCCGCACTCACGGCCTGTGGGTGTCTTTGAAGAAGTGCCAGTTTTACGCCACCGAACTGGACTATCTGGGCCACACAATCACCTCCGTCAACACACAACCGATGGAGAGACACAAGGACCGCATCCAAGGGTTCACCACACCAAAGACCTTAAAACAACTAAGATCGTTCATTGGCACTGCCAGCTGGCTACGAGACTTCGTTCCCAACTTCGCGGAGATGGTGACCCCGCTGACTGATCTAACAGCGGGAAAACACCGTTTCCAATGGAACGAGGTAGCTGACAGGGCGTTCAACTCCATCAAGAACGCCATTGCCAATAAACTGGAACTGCAACGGCCAGATGCCAGCCTGCCTTTCAGCCTTCAGACAGATGCGTCTGAGATAGGCATGGGCGCTGTCCTGTTCCAGGGTGAACCTACCAACCGGAGGATAATTGCATATGGTTCCACCAAGCTGAAGCCAGCTGAGAAGAGGTACCACATCAATGAAAAAGAGTGCCTTGCTGTCATTTGGGCCCTGAAACGATTCAAACACTTCCTTCAGGACCAGACCTTCACACTATACACCGACAGTAGAGCTCTGCTGTGGCTAGATCGTTACAAGAGCGACAAGGCCAAGCTATCACGATGGGCTCTACTTCTACAAGAGTACAACTTCAAGGTGATCCACGTCGCTGGCAAAGACAACCAGCTGCCTGACCACCTATCCCGCCATCCGACCACCGAGGAGGAGACGCTCCACGACCCGGATGCCGAAGTCGATCGTCTAGCCTGGCCACAGCATGCCATGACGGAGGAAGATACATCCCCGTTGCTGTGCCTCCTAGACGACCAGGACGACGATGCCAACCATCCGATCCTGGACGACTTGACAGAAATGCCACTCCAGTTAAGAATCCAGAGGGCACATCAAACCGACCATGGTGTGCAGCGATTCATCAACCGCTGGAGACGAATCCAAGCCCGAGGGCCACAAAATGAGACAGAACAAAGCCTCCTAGACGAGTTCCTAGTGGAGGATGCCACAGCCTACCACCTCCAGGATGGTTCCAGACGCCTGATTGTCCCTGGTTGCTTCCAAGCTGTGGTTCTGCAAGTTTACCATGACAGTGAGGAAGCAAACCACCCCGGACAAGAAGAAACCTACCGAGCCATCCGAGAACTCTACTTCTGGCCAATGATGTCAAAGGACATAACCAACCATGTCCGTACTTGTCTGAAGTGTGCCACGACGAAGGCATCCAAACGACAGCCGAGAGCTCCAATCGTGCCGAGGGAACCAACCAATCCATGGGAGAGGATCTCCTTCGATGTGCTAGGTCCTTACCCTCCTGCCAGAGGGACGAAGAACCGCTTCATCCTCTTCGCCGTGGATTGCCTCAGCAACTGGGTGGAGTTCAGATGCACTACGTCAGCCAAGTCGAGAGACATCGTAGCATTCCTTGAGGACGAGGTCTGCAATAGATGGGGACGACCGAACCAGGTCATTACCGACAATGGACCTCAATTCAGAACCAACACCTGGGAGAGGTTCCTTCGTCGCCACACCATCACCCACGAGAGGGCCCCCATATACCACCAGAGGGCCAACCCCATTGAGCGACGCGTCCAGGAGCTAAAGAAAGGACTGCGAGCCAGAGTCTCATCCCCAGAGGACCCCCGATGGGACTCCTACGTCAGTGACATCGTTTTCACACTCAGAACCAGAGCCAACGATGCCACCGGACAGACCCCAGCCGAGCTCCTCCTCGGATACAGGCCCAGACGCGACCAGGAGACCCACTTCCAGGCCAACGTCAGGGAAAACAGAGAACAACGGGTGCAGAGAGCAGTTCAAAAGGCCACCGTCTACGCCAGGAACTTGTTCCCTGACAACCCAGACGCCAGGACACCACCTGTCTACGTTCCCGGACAACAGGTCCTTGTGAGGAATCACCAGCGTGGAAACTTCGGCGAGACCTGGACAGGTCCACACTCGATCCTACGTGCAGCCGGTAACCATACATACGAGGTTCACCGAGACAACGACGTCGACCGTCTAATCCACGTAGATGATCTACGCCCAGCACCACCTCCTAGAGGCGACGCCGCCGTCGGAGAAGCCGCCCAGTGACGTGGTGTGTAAAAACAATTATTTATTTAAAGACATTCCTTTAATGAAAAGACATTTTTAATATAATATATAAACAATTTATTATTATATTTTTTAAGGGACATTTTCCTTGAACATTTTCTATTCAAAAATGAGTAGTTTTTTTTTTAAAGAAACTTAGGAACGTTTTCCTTTAATATTTTTAGACATGTGACAGTGGGGTCGACTGAGAGATTTCAAACAGGACAGACGTATTAGTTATGTAGTTTGCAAAAGTCGACAAATTTTGTTAAGTAGTGGAACAGTTACTCTCTGTAATGTGACAGATTTAGAAAAGGGTAGCCACTAAATATTTAGAGTTGTGCAGATGCCAGAATATGGAAAATATTCAGAGCAGTGTATAGGGTGTGCCCACTATGTGCAATTGATTTGGTTCCAACCTCAATCTTATTTGTCTCTGGTCGTTTTTCCAGTCCAGTTTGAAGCAGTTCTTTTGTGTAGTATGAGGTCCCAGTAAATTCCCGTTAAATTCCCAGAAGTACCAGTGCAAAATTGTATGTGATTTGAATAAAGCAAAATCAGAAATGGCAGGAGTTTCTTACACTGCTGATGAAGACAATTTAATATTAAAATTAATCATCGATACAAAAGCTTACTATGTATTAAGGGATAAAGAATACTGGGTAGATTTGGCTACCCTAGGTTTATTCGACAAATCCAGAACCTGGATGAGTATCCAAGATCGTTTTAACAAAAACATTTTACCAAATATTATGAATGAAATGTATACAATACCAGAAGAAGATAAACATAGGATATTGTTGGCATGGGAGCAGACTGCCGAGAATTTTCATGATAGTGATGGTGATGAGGACTATGATACCGATGATACCGATAGTGATTAAGATAATAAATTTAAACCAATAAAAAACAGTATATACAGAGCAACCAAAGAATCAGATTAAAATTTATGCATTCAAATCTAATTTCGTTTTATAAATTGTAATTTTTATTGAAATAAAGTGTTACTTTTGCGTTTAGAAAAAAAAAAACAAATTTGTAACGACTATTTTGCTTACCACAGGGTAAGAATATGGGGGACAAGATTGGGCAAACAAAATAATCGAAACAAGTGCATACGACACTCAGTTGGTTGTTGGAGAGCTGGGTCGTGGATAAGTTGAAGATATTGGGGGTTAGATTGGGGCAACTACAAAAAAAGAAATAAAGGGGTACTTATACAAATCTCTTGGGACAAACAGAATGAAAATAAACGGAAACACCTCAAGAAATTTAATATAGGGCGCCACTTGAGGTGCCCAATTATACCTATTACAACCACTAGTTGTAACTAGGGAAATAATTGTATAACATCAAAAATATAGAAAAAAAATATCTTTTTCAAATAAAACTCAAAATAGATCAGAGAAACAAATTAAACATTTATTCTTGTCTCAAACAAAACAGATCAAAAATACATATTATAAAAGAAACATATCATATAACATAATACAAATAACAAAAACTTACATGTTCTTTGTTTACTATATTATGGCCAATTAGATTATCAAAAATTAAGGATCCTTCTTAATGAAAACATATAAATTTAACCTTATATATGAAATATCGTTTCTACATAATAATCAAATTAAAATTGTCATAACAAAAAAAACAAATTAAGCTTGCTGTCAGGTATCACATTTAATTTTGATGACAAAGAATGAAAGCAATTATTACTTTAGCCAAAAAATATGTCTTTACTTTGAAAAATTAATATATTGAATTGTTACCTTAAAATTTACATATTTCGCATTTAAACTTTGAAACTTGCTACATCTCTGGTACTGAAACTGCAAGGACGAAACTCTCGAACAAGGGGAACCATTTCCATACTCAGGAACAAAAGAAGACCATCTCCATAATTTGGAACGCCGATCTGACGTAGATGGGTTGTATCAAACAAGAAAAACGACAACAAAGCTAAGGGACATCCTATATAATACTTTTCAAAACGGTATCTATACAAATCTTCTAATGTACTCCAAAGAAAAAAATAGAAATAGTGGTGACTCTTTTCTAAACTGACATATTACATAGAGTCTAATATTCTCAACCAATTTTGCCGGTCTCTTTACCGACAAATCAAAACGTCTTCTCCATTCGAATCTTTTCTTCCACTCTACATTGTAGCACGTCTGCCCTGCTTGGAACTTAAATGTCGACTCCATTGCTTCGTTACATTTTACAAGAAACTAGCCAAAAATTTCCCTTCCGTCTTGCAGCTAACCTGTCCCCACAAACTCAAGAACCAAAACAATATCCCCTCGCTCGTATCGACAAAAAAAAACCAACTTTTAAATGTTCCTTTATTGCCTAAACAAACAAATATTCTTTTTTTTGACCTTCGTCCAATAACGAAAAACAACTATAATATTAGGGGAATTCATGTTTATTTCGTTTTTAAACGAAGAAAACAAATAAAACCTTTTTTTTATCAGGGGGCATCATAAATTTACATAATACAAATTAACAAAATACGTGCGTATTTTAAAGTTGAGTTTTACCTGACTTATAACAAAAGGTTCGATATTTGAATCTAAACACAGACAAAAAATATATCCAGTGTTATTACGCATTTTAGAAATCTAGTCAAAAAAACTTGAAATATTTACATTTAACTTCTCCGTAGTTATATTAAATCGATCGATTTCTTGGCCAAAACAACAGGGACGTACCACAGAAACTTTTCTATACACTTTAAATAAAAAAACGCTACAATGCCCCTTCTTAAAAGAAAAAACTCGGATAATTTTTATCCAGTTTTTGATAAAGGCAAAACAACAAAAACCAAATCAGAAGATGACCTCTTAACTGAGTCGAAACTTCTTAATAATATCTTTTAGATGATGGCTAGCATGGGATTAAACAACAAAAACAAAGTTAGTTACAAAGAATGGGCTAGCGTGCCATCGATCGCCAGACTCTTTAAAGGAACATGATGGCCATAATTCAGGAAAGCTGGAGTATATCCAGTCACTTCATGCTTTGCAGTGTTAATAGCTTGTCTGATCTTTGCTAAATTCTTGTCCCAATCTACGTGGTCTTTAACATACGTACGTATTGCTGTACCAATGGTTCTATTGTTCCTCTCCACAAAATTACACTGAGGTGCATATACTGGGCTAAACCATACTTTCTGAACGTTATACCTATTACAGAGCTCAATTAAGAGAGGATTGTTCAGATTTGAGGCATTATCACAAATCACATATTGAGGAACACCAAACATTAGGAAAACATCATTTTCCAAAAACTCAACAATATTCTTAGCCGTGGCCTTTCTCAAAGGTTGGACTAAAGTATATTTACTAAACCAATCAGCAACTACTAATAACCACGTATAACCTTTCTTTGAACGAACAAAGGGACCTATCAGATCTATTGCAACTATTTGCCAAGGAAACTTGGCCTCTCTCTGCTTACCCATTTTACCTAATGGAGCATAATTTGGTGTCTTCTGAGCACCACAAACTTTACATGACCTGACAAACTTAAGCACATCAACACGCATCTGGGGCCAATAATATCTTTCCTGAATACGGGACAAAGTTTTGGAAAATCCAAAGTGAGCACACGTAGGTGGCTCATGACAAGACTTCATAACTTCAAACCTTTGTGGTTTGGGCACAAGAATTTTCCACTCTACATCATTAGTCTTAAAAGAATTTTTGGTAGGGGCAAACTTATAAACAAAATCATTCTCCACCTTCCACTGTGGAAAATCAAGGGGGGATCGGATTATCTTTGATCTCAAATTATCGAACCAAGGGTCTATTCTATCTACATTAACTTCTAAACAATTAACATGGGGACGACTATCAAAATCTTTCTTTTCAAAAATTGGGTTCACTGATGACCTGTAAGGTCTATTGGACTTAGACCTATTCGAAATACAACACTTAGGACAAGAAGATATGATCACACCTTTATGACCACAACGCCAACAAGATACTGACTTACTTCTACAGTCACGGGAAATATGACCTGGTCTATTACAATTGAAACAAATAATCTTTTTCGGATTTCTTGGAGCTTGATAAGGGACTGACTGCATTAATGGAGGTGGGGACGAAAAAGATTGCATCATTGGAGGTGGGGACGAAAAAGACTGATTTCTTATTTCAGTATTCTCTGGTGGACTGGGTCTATTATTCTCATACTTATATTTGGGATTGGGTCTCCTAGATACAGAATTTTCTCTGTCCTGTCTGTTACCTACTCCACTTCTATCTTGCTTGGTTTGATTATTCACCACATGAACTTGTTCTTTGGGCTTTTCTGAATCATCAATCGAAATACCTGCAAGACCTTTAGTAGTCTGCAACAAGGGCAGGACATTCTGCTCTAAACGTTTTATAGTTGCTACTAACATTTCTACTGTAGCAAAATCTTGAAGGGCTATCAGTGGAATGTAGTCCACTAAAATATTTTTCCTCATTATTTTTACTTTTTGGGCTTCACTAGGATATGTTTCCAAACGTTTAAAAAGGTTTTCCATCACTGCTGAATAAATGGTTATGGATTCATTCCTTTTTTGCTTTCTATTTTTAATTTCATCAAAGAGATTATCATTATAATCTGGGTGCAAAAAAGCAGATTTGAGTAGGGCTACCAACTCATCCCAACTATTAATTTTATCTCTAACACTCCTATACCAAATAGCAGCATTACCTTCAAATAACTCAATGGCTGAGCGAAACAGGATGTCTTCGGAAATATTCCGAGACCTAGCAGAATCTCTAACTTTCTCTAAAAATGTGGGAAGAGCTTTACTCTCACCATTAAACTTGATATGTAAATCAGAAATAATGACAGGAGTTGAAACCTGTATTATTGGGGCTGGGACTGTACAACTGGGAACTACAGGGACTGAAACTGGGCTACTAGTGGATGGTTTTACTAAATCATCAAACATTTCTAGTTTTTCTAACACATCACCCTGTAACAACAACAAATCATCTTTACACTCATTGACAAACTTTTTAACATCTTCCTCAACATCATTCATAGGGAAATTTTCTAATCTGGTATTTAAATGTGTAGACCTTGTCTCAAATCTAGCAAAATCAGCTTTGGTTGATTCTACATTTATTGATTGAGCACAACTATATAAATCTTCTACAATCGACTTAATCTCACACAACTCTTTCTCAGGATCTACTACATTATTAACCAAATCGACTAAACTTGAAGACAAAGTGGCCTCCTTGGCCAACAAAGCTCTTAACATCTTTCTCTTATCATCAACTGTCTTATTTGGGACATTTTTACCTCTTATGAAAAGCTCATAAGATAACTCTCCTGATTTCAAATGATTAACCTGAGTAGACTTCATTTTTCAAAAATTGGATGAAAGCAAACACACAAAATAACTGAAATCAACCTCAACAACTAGTAGAAAATATGATAATTTTAAGAAACAACCGTTTCCATTTATCACCTGATAGTAAGTCTCACTTGCACTCCCGCGTACTGAAATCCAAAACTCAATCAGTTTGCTGCAACTTCTGCTCTTGACTTAGTAATCAGTTGGTAAACAAAAATGAGGTCTTTAACCTGTCTCCTAAAAGTTCACACTTCCACTAACAACGGCTAAAAAAATGGTTTCAAACAACATGGGACAACATGGACACTAACAAACAACATAAACCGTACATACAAGGAAAGACAAAATACTAATAATATTGAAAACTTGACCTTTGAGTGAGCTACACTAAATAACACCAAAATAAACCAACTCTTGTTCCGAAAACTAAATGAGACTGCTCCTAGTCAAAACTAAAACAGCATCTCCTGATCACAAATATTACACCTGTGGTCATTCAGATACAAGAAAGGATACACA